CAAATGTTTTTAAACCAGATATAGAGTCCATCCTCTAATCCTAGCACTCAGAGGCTCAGGCAGGAAGACTGCCCAAATTTGAGGCCAGCCAGGGCTACATAGTGAGTTCAGGACTAGCCTGACCTACACAGCAAGACTTTGTCTCAAAAAAACAAAAACTGTTTTATTAAAAGGGCTGGGGGGCTGGGGAGATGGCTCACTAGAATAAGCGCTTCCCTGGCAAGCACAAGGACTTGAGTTCAATCCCAGGTTCCGCAAAAAATAAATAAATAAATAAATAAATAAATAAAAGGGCTGGGGGTGTAACTCAGCAGCACAGCCGCCTGCCTGGCAAGCATGAGGCCCTGAGTTTGATTTCTGCAGTCAAATGCTCTACCTCTGAGCTACATCCCCACCTGACTTTTGAGTTTGATTTCTGGTACCAAAAAGGGTGGAACTGGTGTAGCTCAGTATGAAAACCTTGGGTTCAATCCCCCATACCACCAAGCGGAAAAAAAAGGCCAGCATAGCGCCTTTTTTCCTCTACCAAGAACAAAACAAAACAGAGAACATGGTCACCTAAAAAGTAATCTCCATTTCCCCCACTGTGGACTTGAAGCTGGGAAATACCAGATTATTTACTGGGTACAGGCTGGTAGTGGCAGGCAAAGGGCCCCGACTCTGGCTGGTCTGACAAAGGAGCAGGGGCCCTCACTCCTAAACAACGCAGATTTTTCCCAACTGAAAGGAGGGACTTTTCAAGCTTCTGAAGCCAAAAGGTGACCTGATAAGAAAGAGGTTTGAGAATGGTCAACAGGGTGTGGCAGAGACAGCAAGCATAGGTTAAATTATCCGCTCTTCCTGACCTCCAGAGGCCTCAATCCTTTCAGGCTCAAAATCAGAGACTTCCTGCCTGAGGGTTTCAGGAAAAATGCCCACATGCATTCATTAGACAAAAGTCCGACACTCAGGTGGAAGGCAGAGACCTCGTGGTCTCCCTACTTAAGGCCTCAGTGCTCACTTGCAAAAGATAAACACAGCGGCCAGTGTGGTAGCAACGCCTATAATCCCAGCACTGAGGCAGTAGGCTCACTGGGAATTCGAGGCCAGCCTGGACTGTATCATGAATTCAAGGCCAGCCTGAATTACACAGCGAGAGCCTTTCACAAACACAAACAAAACAACCCGGAAAACAGGAAAAGAAACTGCTAACAGTTGAAGGAGGTCTTGGGGTCCATTCCTAGCACACACATACACACACGCGAAAACACTCAGTATCCTGTCAAAGCAGTCAGGTGGGGAACCAGCTAAGTTACCATAGGAGGTTAAATGCCAAGGTCCAGGACCTAAGGGGCAGATCTGCACGTGTACACACACGCGTGGTGCTGTCGCCCCGTCTAGATACACTATAGCGATGCGGAGCCACCGAGAGGCTGCGACCCAAAGGACGGACGCCCTCCTGTCCCTCCTTCCCTGCCCCCTCCGCCCCTGGAGCCGGACAGTTTTCTCTCAGTTCCGCCCTGGCCTCCCGCTGCTCGCCTTTTCTCATACTAAGCAGGTCCTCCCGGCCCCGGGGCGTCCACCTCCACCCCGCCTCGGGCTGGACGCTCTTCCCGACTGCCGGCTGCCCAAGCCCTCGATCCATTCCACCCCGGCAGAGGCTGCCGCCTTTCCCTCTTCTCAGTGTGGTCGGTGGTATTTGCCCAGGAACCATATCCCGCCCGCCCCTGGTCCCCTCCGCACCCGCGTGGCGCGAGCGTCTCGTAGCCCGCCTCGCAGGCACGGCCCTCGGGGCCGGGAGCCGGCTGTCGGCCCGCCGGCCGCCCAGTACTCACCGAGGTCCGCAGCTGCCGGCGCCCGCACTTCCGCCGGTGCCACCCCCGCAGAGCGCCGGGCGGGCCGCGAGCTCTGGAGCCTGGGTTCCGCCCGCGCCGCTGCTGCCGCCCCACGTGGTCGCCGGGCCGCTGGCTCCCGCCGTGGTCACCTCCCCGCCGGCGGCTCAGACCAGCTAGCTCGTTATCTGGGGACGTCCGGGATACTGGCTTTACAAAGGATGAAACAGCATACGAGGAACGGTGTCCTCAGACAGCATCAGGGGCGGAGTTCCGCCTTTACCTTCCTTCACTGCCGCACTAGGCTCCTACCCCTCACCTCCCCCACGTGGAAGCGTGAGCTCAAGCTCCGGCAGCCACGTGCCAGAAGAAAGGCTTAAAATTAAAACAGTACTGCTAGGGTGCACAGGAGGCCACCAGTTTGTCTTCTAGCCCTCCCTGCTGCCCCCTTTCACAAAGTGGAAAACAGGCCCGAATGGGGAGCAGAAATCCTGCTACTGTAAGCCCATATCACTTTTACTTTTTGGAAGTAGGGTCCACCTGAGCAGAGACCCTGAGGACCACTGCCCTTCCTCAAAGATCCCAAGACCCCGTCAGTATCTGACACATAGGTACTGTACTCTACAAATACCAATGGAAACAATTTTCCATGCATAGCAGATCAATAAAGATTTTTTTACTTAATCTTGTCCCTGCCAGGGGCTGTATTTGTGAATAAGATCGACTCCAATTTTGTCTTCATGACCTCTGCTCTGTAGGGAACAGGAGTTACAGCAGAGGGTATTAATGAAAAATTACATACAAGCTCTTTCAAGCTTTGGCTGAGCATGGCGGGGGAGATGGCTCCGTAGAATAAGTGCTTGCCTGGCAATCGCAAGGGCCTGAGTTTAATCCCTGGTTCTGCAAAAAAAAAGCACATTAGGGAGGCTGAGGCATAAGGAGCTGCTTGCCTAAAGCATGAGAAAGGGTGGAAGATTTTGGATAAAATAAGAGCAATGGGATAGAGAACCACAGATTTAGGGAAATTTAAAATTGGGTGGTCAGGGAGTCTGCAGGTTAGCTCAGTCCTTTAAGCGCCTGCTTATGCAAACGCAGTCAGGAGCAGGAGAGGTTCAATCCCTAGCTCCACAGGCCTTACCAGACCCGGCCTTAAGGCACCCTAAGCCCCTGAGCCAGCAAAAAATAAATAAAAATAAATAAATAAATAAAATTGGGTGATCAGAAGAGGTAGCATGGAAAAAGTCATGCTGATAAGGTAACTAGTTCCAGTGGTCTATAGTTCCAGTGGTCTCCTAGGTCCATTAGGAGATAGGTCCAACAGGGAACTGGTGACAGATGGAGGTCATTGAGGGTAATTTGCAAGGCCTTCAGCAGGGTGGGGCTACTTTAGATAGGCTGGTCAGGGAGGCCTCGGCTCTGGAAGGACAATTGATCTGGGACCTGAATAACAATATGAGGAACTCTGGGAGATCTGCATGTGGAATTCACTCAGCTTTGGGCTGGGCACACCTGGGGGAGGACTGGTACAGACACTGGACCTAACCTCAGGGGGCTTGCATTGAGTGGGTGTGTGGAGAACAGTTAACAACACTTGGGCACTGCGATGCGGTCAGTGCCTGGAAGCAGAGAGAACCCTCATAAGGGTTTAAGGGTGGGGCAGGGTGTTGATGCCACTTCAAACAGAAACAAAATTTCTTTGTCAAGTGGAGGGAGGGAGGATGGCCTATCTCCTTTTGGTGGCCAGTTCAGGCCCAAGTAGAAAGTACCCCTCCTCTCCCTCAAATCCTTCCAGGGCAACTGTCTCAGGAAAATCAAAAGATCTGAAGTGTCCAAAGTGTTCAAAAGAGCTGGGTGTGGTGGTGCACGCCTGTAATCCCAACTCTCTGGAGACTGAGGCAGGATTACCTTGAGTTAGAGGCCAGCCTAGTCTACATAGCAAGACTGTCTCCAAACAAAAAACCAAAGTCAGTCTCTCTCTCTCTCTCTCTCTCTCTCTCTCTCTCTCTCTCTCTCTCTGTGGTGACAATGATGGAATTTAGGAATCCAGTGCATTTGCGCTGAGCAACATCCCTAGCCCTTGCAGGGTCCAAGTGGCTGTGTCCGATCTTGCTGTCCTACTACCTCAGCTTCTCAGAGCCCTGGTGTTATAGGCAGGCACCACCTTGGCTCCTTTTTTCCCCACTATACTCAATCCCTTGTACAGTGGCCCACTGGAACTTTCCCTTTTCTTCTGGAATGTCCAGGGCCCCCTCACCCACTCCTTCAGGCTTCAGCTTTGCCCTGTCCTTAGCAGGTATCAAAAACAAAACAAAACAAACAAAAAAACTGAAGCCCCCAAATCTGGGTGTGATGGAGCATGCCTGAAATCCAAGTACTCTGGAGGCTGAGGTAGGAAATTGCCCTGAGTTCAAGACCAGCCTGGGGGGCTGCGGAGATGGCTCAGTAGAATAAGCATTTCCCTGGCAAGTGCAAGTGCCTGAGTTCAATCCCCGGTTCAAAAAAAAAAAGACCAGCCTGGGCTATGTAGGAAAATTGAAACGGGAATAACACTGTCCCCCTTCCTAGGTTTATTTCGTTATACAATATGTATGATCATGACAAGAACTTCCATCTCAGTTACCATGAGTACTGTCTCCCCCCACACCCTATAAACCCTGTGAACACAATCTTACTCCATACATCCTGGATAAATTGTGTGTGTGTGTGTGTGTGTGTGTGTGTGTGTGAATGTTGGGGATTGAACACGTCTCCAGCACCTTTTTACTTTTTATTTTGAGACAAAGTCTCCATAAATCGCTAAACCGCCCAGACTGGACTCTAATCCCCCTGCCCCAGCCTCTCAGAGTACAGCGTGCACCATGGCCAGCTTGTAATATTTAATGAAGTAGTCCAGGTTATTAAACGCTTAGTAAGGAAGGGGGCCCACGATTTCTCGGGGTGCGTATGAGGGCATCCCGTGCCTCAGCTTCACTAGCCCTAAAATGGGCGAAGCCTGGGTGTGTGAATTTAGAGCTATCAGGTTTCTGCAGTGCACAGAGCTCAGGGATTGAGCTGGGCGGCCCGCAGGGCCCCTGCAGGGCCGCCTTGTCCTCTCCGCCAGGTCCCGCCCTCTGGGGGCGGAGCTCCGCCTGGTCAGCACGTGTAAAAGTTCGCCGCGGGTCGCCGCAGCCACTCACCTGAGCGCCTTGCTCTGAGCGCGCACAGCTTGCGCGTCCTCCGCTCGTGCGTCCTCCGCCCGCCGAGCCGCCTGCCCTTCCCGCCCGGCCCTGGACTCATGTCCCGCCGCAAGGCCGGCAGCGCGCCCCGCCGAGTACAGCTCGCGCCTGCCGCCAACCCAGACAAGGAAGAGATGGAGATGTCGGACCTCATCATCGATGTGAAGCTGGAGCCGGACGTGCGGGCCCTGCAGGCCCCGAAGGAGGTGTCCGCGCTGGGACGCTTCGGGGGCGAACCCCGCCACACGCTTGGCCCGGTGCCCGCCGGGGCCGCCCTCCACGCCCTGGGCTCGCGGAGTCCGTGGGCCCTATGCATGCCGCTGACCTCCAGCCTTGCCGGTGAGCTCCCGCGTCCCTGCCCTGCCCAGCCCCTGCCCTGGCCCCTCGGGCCAACTTCCCCTCCCTGGGACCCTCAGATGGGATCTCCTTCCTTGGGTAGGGACCCCAGAGCCTGCCGTAGGTCCCTCGTCCGGTCCTGGCCCCAGCCTCCCCACTTCTGACTTTAGGGTTTCCTCTCGCTCTCTTTCTCAAAACCCCCAGCCCCCATCCTGGCCCCACCCCACGCTCACCGCCGCTTCCTCCCTGCAGACCGCCAGCCCTGGACCGAAAAACGCCCAGATCTGTTGACCTGCGGCCGCTGCCTGCAAACCTTCCCGCTGGAGGCCATCACTGCCTTTATGGACCACAAGAAGCAGGGCTGTCAGCCCTCCAGAGGCCCCAGCCCCTGCAAGAGCTCAGGTGAGTGAAGCCACCGGCAGCCTCCTTCTCAGGTTCAAGGGCTGGGCTTCCTGCGGGAGAGGGGGCTGAGCTGGACAGGCAGGGCACGGAGCGTTACTTCCCCTTTCACCCCTTCGGGTGGAGCCGAGGCGTGACCATGGCTTGCCCGTCGCAGGAACGGGACTAGAGGTGGGGAGGGGGCGAGGGCGGAGGCTGGGCAGGGCAGGAGGTGGCCCGCAGGGTGTGGCCAGCCCCAGAAAACTGGCCTGGGGATTTGCCACGCGCACCCCCCAATCTGGTTTCACTTCTCCTTCCCCTCGGACAGAAATAACTGGCCAGGTGGCTGGACTAGGGGGGCAGTAGGCGGACCTGGGAGGATGGCAGAGTGGGGGGAGGGGACTCCGGAGGTTGGGGCTACCACCTCCTCCCACCTCTTCATACTGATTGGGGTTCTGGTCCAGTTCTGAGCCGAGGACAGGGCTCTGGCTCCCTGCCTTGGTGGAATCTCCCAGCCCTGGGTGCTGGGAAGCCCCTGGTTTGAAACTGTCCTGGGTGCTGGACACCTGGGATCCTTCTCTTGGGAAGGAATTTAAATGCTTAGTGTGGCTCTCCACGCGCACGGGGCGATTTTCCTAAGCCTAGGCTGTGAGACTCCTCCAACTGTGAATTTCCAGCCCCCAGCTCATGCCCTCAGGGAATTGGAAAGTGGGATTATAGCCTGGCTGAGCCTGGGAGGGTCCACCAGTGGGGAAGGGGAGGGACTGTAACTGAATCCAGTTTAGTGGGAAGCCCAGAGCCTGTAGTCCGGGATGAGGGTGGGGCTTGATGGAATCGCTACAGGGATCAGTCCAGCTCTTGTGTTGGAATTGGGAGCCCCTTGGCCAGTCAGCTCAGTTCAGGCTTGTTGAGGGCCTATGTGGACTGAAGCACTCAGCTGTTTCCTATTTGTCACAACTATCCTGGAAAAAGGGGACCCCCAAGATCCCTGCACTGTAGCAGCTGAGGTAACTGAAGTTCAGAGGTTACTTTTACCTAGGGTCATACTCAGGGAGCAGAGGGTCTAAGTTGCAGGCTTGGTTGACCTTCCTTAGCCTCTGCCTATGCTCTTGACTTTGGTCTCTGCTGGTGTTTCTGCCCAAAGACCAGAGACTGGTGAGGATTTGAGAAATCTAAAGGTAAAGGTAAAGGTATCTGGGGCTTCTCCATTTGGGCTGGGGGCTTAGGTCATGATCCTGCCCATCCTGCACTGGGATCTTGGTCACTTGCAAAGTGGGAAAATGGAAATGATTGTGGAATCCCTGAGCATGAGGCTTGGCACAGAGAAACACCCAGTAGTCAAGAGGTGGTTTTGCTCTGTTAAGCCAAGTTTATTTTGTTGGGTTTTGTTTGTTTGTTTTTGAGACAAGGGCTTGCGATATAGTGTTGGCTGCTCTTGAACTTAAGTGTGTAGCCCAGTCTGGCCTGGAACTTGCAGGGATCCTCTCCTGCCTCAGCCTCCTGAGTGAATTACAGATGTGTGCACCACACCTGATATTTTTAAAAGCCTCCCCACTCTGCACTCCCATGATCCCCAGGATTTTGGGCTGAAGTCCCAGTTGCAGCCTCTAAGCTGTGTGGCCCTGGGAAATATCTGCCTGTTTTGGAGGTCTTGTTTCCTTGCCCAGGGGAGCAGAGGCCTGGCACAATATTTAGCGCCTAGGAAGTGCTCTTCGAATTTAGTCACTTTAGGGTGGCTAGAACCCAAGGGCTGTAGTATGCTAGGCAAATGCTGTACCTCAGCCCCAGGTCATCTCTTCTGCAAAGACTTCCTGACCCCTCTGTCCCTTTTCTGAGACAGAGTCTTGCCATATAGTTCAGTCTGGCTTCAACCTCATTATGGAGTTCTGATTTACAGCAGACCTGTCTCAGCCTTCTGAGCTCTGGGATTACAGGCACACTACCACATCTGGCTTACCTCTCACTTTTTTTTTTTTTTTTTTGCGGAACCGGGATTTGAACTCAGGCCCTTGGTCTTGCCAAGGAAGTGCTTATTCCACTGAGCCATCTCCTCAGTCCTTTTATCTCTCACTCTTTAACAGTTTTTGTTGTTGTTTTCAAACACAGAATCCTTGTACTCTGGTTTTCCTTACTTCAGGAAGCTTCCTGGAGGTGTGGTGTTCTGTCTCTATTGCTGAGTCTTCCATATCTGAAGCAGAGCCTGTCCCCGGAAAGGGCCCCTAGACCCCAGAGACCCTAGACCCGGAGACCCCAGCACTAACCTTCTGCACCTCTCTCTTGGCTCTAGAACCCAAACAGTTGCCACTGCTGAGCTGCCTTCACTGTGGGAAACAGTTCACAGGTGCCTGGAAGCTGCTGCGCCACGCCCAGTGGGACCACGGGCTGTCCATCTACCAGACGGAGCCAGAGTCAGAGGCCCCTGAGGCCCCACTGTTGGGCCTGGCCGAGGTGGCAGCGGCCGTGTCTGCTGTGGCAGCTGTGGGGCCTTCAGCTGAGGCCAAGGGTGCCAGGCTCAGTGGCTTCAGCCGACGGAGCCCCATCTGCCTGGTATGCAAGAAGACCCTCAGCTCTTTCAGCAACCTCAAGGTGCACATGCGCTCACATACCGGCGAGCGGCCCTATGCCTGTGACCAGTGTCCCTACGCCTGTGCCCAGAGCAGCAAGCTGAACCGTCACAAGAAGACCCACCGGCAGCTACCACCCCAGAGCCCCTGTATGGCTGACGCCAGTGAGGAACAGGTGTCCACAGCACCTCCAGAGCCAGCTGCCCATGCTGCCGCCCCAGCCAGCACCCTCCCGTGCAGTGGTGGTGGTGAGGGTGCTGGGGCTGCAGCCACAGCTGGTATCCAGGAGCCTGGGGCTCCTGGCAGTGGGGCTCAGGCAGGCCCAGCTGGGGAAGGCTGGGGAGTGGTCGACAAAAAACAGAGAACTGACCCTCCGGAGAACCAGAAAACCTCACCAAAGAAGATCCCCAAGGCAGCTGGCAAGAGCCGTGGGCCAGGAGGCAGCTGTGAGTTTTGTGGGAAGCACTTCACCAACAGCAGCAACCTCACCGTGCACCGGCGCTCGCACACTGGTGAGCGGCCCTACACCTGCGACCAGTGTTCCTACGCTTGTGCCCAGAGCAGCAAACTCAACCGCCACCGCCGCATGCATGGCCTGGAGCCTGGCAGCACCCGCTTCAAGTGCCCGTACTGCTGTGTGCCCTTCGGCCTGCGAGCCACGCTGGACAAACACCTGAGGCAGAAGCATCCTGAGCAGGGTGAAGTGGCCTGAGCAAAGGGCTGGCCCTGACATTGTCAGCAGTTGTGCCGACCTCCTTGTCCTTGTTCAAATAAATGTCTTCCCTATTTACCCATGTGCCTGGCCTCATCTTTCTTGGGGTGTTGAGGTGGGGCAGGAGGCTTCACCTTGGGTGGACGCTGGACAGACCGGTTTAGAGTGGCGGGTGAAGGGAAAGGCCAGTCCCAGTGCCCGGGGCACAGTGGGGCTGGCACAGAAAGCCGTGTTCCCAGTTCTCGGTGTGGGCGAGGCCAGGGCAAGGGCCAGGCGAGGGCGGGGAGAGGCCTGGACCTGTCGCCGGAGGCCCCTAGGCACGGTCCCGGCCCATCCTGTCCACATGTGTGGGCAGGTCTGGGCCCTTTCCCACTGGATCAGCCTCCTGCTAGTGAAGCAGGCTTCAAAGACTCACAGGGTGTGTGACCAACAGTTCTGGCCAAAGTAGTTGTGACACTGACACCTGGCCTACAAGCCTAAGTCCCCTCACAGCTGGTAGACAGATGTTTGAGAGCCACACAGATGACAGCAGTCAAGTAAAGAACATTAAATAACATCTGCTTTATTTCAGTAGAGAAACCAGTATTGAAGCTTGAACCTTGGACCCTGTCCTAGCCCCACTCCTAATGTCGGTAATGGGGGCTTCTGGACCGGGACCTCGAACGCCTGCAGAGAAGGGATAGCCATGAGTGTGGACCCACACATGCAGGCCACTGGGGCTTCAGGGATGGGAGGGGTAGAGAAGCGGGGCTAGGGCCTTCCACCCAAGAGCAAGGCAGGCAGGGGTAAAAGGAGAATCCCCAAGAGCAAGCGGACTGGCTGCTCACCTTCGGGAGGAGCTGTACTCTCGACCTGGAAAGGAAGGAAGGCAGCTGAGCAAAAGGCACTGCCCAGGGCCAGGGCTGCTCCTGACCTGGGCAGGTTTCCCGAGGCGACACCAACACTTGCAGAGTCCACTGATAAGCCCTCTCCCCCTCACCAGCCCAAGACTGCTGGGGACAAGCAATTCTCACTCCTACAGCTTGACAAAAGCCATCAGTATTCTTGTGCAGGCAGCAGCTGTGTCTGTGTGTACAAAGATCTCTTATGGAAGGCCATGGCTGCAAATGTACTATGCTTTCAGTGAGACAAGGCTAGGACCTGCTCTTGCCTAGGTCTGCTTTGAAGCCCTGCATTCAGGCGCTTCTCCAGCTCTAGGGAAGCTCTCCTTTTCTCCTTGCCTGCCTTGCTCTTGGGAGGAAGGCCCTAGCCCCGCTTCTCCAACATTCCCACCCCGGCCCCCATCTCTGAAGCCCCAGTGGCCTGCATGTGTGGGTTCACTCACTGTAACGTGGTGAGGGTGAGCGGCTCTGGCGGCTGTACTGGCGTTCCCACTCCTCTCGCTCCTTCTCCCTGCGTTCCCGCTCCCTGCAGGGGGAAAGGGGAGGCAACCAGGAGAGGGGTGAGCACCTGCGGGAAGGGGACATAGGGGAAACAGACAGCAGACGGACAGAGGGATGGAGAGAGTGAGTCCACTGTGCCCTGCCAGCAAAGCCTGAAGAATAAACCCAATGGAGCTGGGCAGTTCTTGCACTTCCTGTCACAGCCTGGGGACCCGGATGGCAACCCCAATGGCAGCTTGTTCACTGGTTGCTGTCCTTGTGCCTGGCTTCAACTGTGCAGAATCCTTCCAGCAAGCATGAGGGAGACAGGTTCCCATCGCCACAAGCAGATAGGCAAACTGAGGCTCAGGACAAAGGACATGGTGGCAGATGGCAGAGCCAAAGTCAGACAGAAAGCATGACTGACACAAGCAAGTCTCCAGCCACTCTTCCTCCGCCTTCTGATGGCCCATGCATCCCCAGAAGCCCCACAACACTTTAGGTGTATGATAAACAATGACAAAAGCGAGGAGAGCGCCACCTGGGCACCAGGCCTTCTTCCCACACACCAGGCTCCCGCTGAGCCTGACAGCAGGCCTGCAGAGGCGGTGCCAGCACAATCACCTCCGTCGCATAGAGAAAGGAGCCCCCGCTCCGAAAGGGTAACATGCTTGTCCACAGGAACACAGCAAGAACAGGGGAATGAGAACTGACTCAGACACCCTGCTTTCCAGCCTGACCCCTGCCTGCCTGCAGTGTTCAGAGCCCAGTGAGGAGGCACTGAGGACTGTCCCACTTCCCAAGGGCCACACGATCAGCAGAAACTGAACCCCAAGTCTGTGTGATTCAGGCTTGGAGCCCTGGATCACCACTCAACAAGCAATGGAAAAAAGAAGGCAGAAAAGGAGAAAATAGGCCCTGTCTCCAGGACTGGCTTCAATACATTCAACAAACATTTATCAAATTTCGGGTGCAGAAGACATGGTTGCCAGACTTAATGTTTTAGTGGAGACACACAATTAATGAAGTCAACAACTACAGAGCTCATTTCGAGTGGAGGGAAGCTAGGACCAGAAAGAGAACTGAGCTGGGTGAGGGGCAGAGTTGAGGGGCTACACCAGACAGAATGATCAGGGAAGGTCTTGTGTGGGGAGTGCCCAGAGGACAGCCCAGATGGCACACCTGGGGGCCTGGGGAGCCAGGCTGCTAGGAGGGTCTGGTCAGGGCCAGCTTTGCTGGCTCTGATCTGCCCACAGGGGCTATAGGGCTCCAGGCAGGGGAGTCCCAGGGGAGGCTGGGGTTCCCACAGACAGGAGAGCTGGCGAGGAGCCTTACTTCATGCGAATCTTGCGGGCCATGGCGCGCAGCTCATCTTCCCGCTCCTGCAGCAGAGGTAGACGTGAGGTGTGGCCTGGCCAGCAAGCTTGGGATTACCCTGTCCCGTCCCTCTCTCACCTGCCGCTCATGCTCCTGCTGTATCATCTTTTCTTGAGCTGCCTTCTTATCCGCCTTGACTGTGGAGAGAGGGCACATGACTGAGGGCGCCCTCAAAGCTGCTTCCTAATCTGGCAGGTGGGGCTGAAAGGGGCTGGCCAAATTGGGAGCAGAGTGCACCCCACCTCCCTAGCTTGCCCCAAGGCCCAGGAAGCAGTGTGTGGGGGGGGGACCATACACTGCCTGTTCAGTGCCTTCTGCATCCTCAGCTTCAGCCTCTCTTGCGGTGTCAGCTTGGGCTGGGGAGGGGGAAGAGATAGGAGGAGTTGGGTGTCCAAGAGGGCCCCCAGAACACCTCAGTGAAGAGCCTGGCCCTTGAGGGGATATGGAGGGTAAATGTGAGGCTCTGAGAGGTTCGGGACAGCTGCAGCCCAGTGTGCAGGGAAGCAGGGAGAGGACACACTCTCTGGGCAGCCCTTCCTCTCCCTTCCGGCCTCAATCCCTGGGGCTGGATCCCAGCCCACCCCGGTGCCCCTGCAGGCCCACCGGGCCCAGCTCTTGGGCACTGCTGCTGCGGGAATTAGACGGGCGAGTTCCAAATTCTTACTGACTTTGGCAGCTCCTGTCTCTTTACCAGCGGCAGGTTCAGTCCTGGGTGGGAGTAAAAGGCAGTTGCCACTTTTGAGCCCACAGCGTCTGTGCTGCCCTCAGTCCAGTGAGCTGGGACCTTGGGTCTCAGATGTCCCAGGGAGTAACTGTGTCCTTTCTCAGACCTCAGCCAACTCCACCCACCCACCCACCCACAGGCTTCCCTGGCAGGGCCTGGGTCTCTGTCCTCCCCAGGACTCTGCAGTCGCTCCAGGCCCCCAGGAGTTCCCTCCCTACCTGAGGCTGACACCCTCGACCCCAACCCTCACCCACTGCCCAGGTGCCTGCTCACTTTTTCAGCTTCTCGCCCACAGCAGGGGACGCTGCTGGCCGGGCCAGCTTCTCCCTTGGGGGCGATGGTGAGTGACTCTGGCTATGGCTGTGGCTGTGGCTGTGACTGCGGCTGTGACTGAGGCTGTGGCTGCGGCTGCGGCTCCGGCTCTGGCTGGGGCTGCGGCTGTGGCTATGGCTCGGGCTGCGGCTTCTGGACGGGCTGAGGGACCAGCTGCTACGACTGCGGCTGCTGCTGTGGTGCCTGGGGCCCCGGCCACCCCGTCGATAGCGGTCCCCAGAGCGGGAGCGGCTCCTGGGGTGTGGCAGGCCAGGAGGGGGACCATGAGGTCCGGGGCCACCCTGCTTCTCTCACTACATACTGTGTGTCAACTTCCCGGGTGGTGGCCACCCACCCCTTTCCATGACATGCCCAGCTCAGGGCACACAGCAAGTCTTCCAGGGTGCCTTCAACCTCACCTTGCCAGCGCCCAGAGGTTCTGTACTTTCAGGCCCCATGTCTGGTGTACACACAGATAGCTCCCAGGCTCCCCCCTCAGGATACTATTGTTGCTTAAGCAGGGCTGGCTCTGAAGCTGTGGCCAGGCTCCACTTCCCTCCCAAAGGCTTTCCCTTGTCACCACTCTGGGTCAGGGTACAGGGAATGACCTGGAAGCCAATTCTGGGATGCATACTGACTGCCTGAGCCATCCTAGCTTTTCATGAAATTACTGTTATCAATACTGAGAGTCTGAGCTGTCCTTGAGAAACCCAGACTCTCAGCAAGCACGGTGGTACATACCCACAACCCCAGCAGTGGGACACTAAGGCCAAGGGATCTTGAGGGGGATGCCAGCCTAAGCCACATAGCAGGTTTAAAGCCACGTGGGGCTACACATCAGAATTCCATCTTACTCCAGCCTTCCAACTTCACTTGAGAAAATGGGAAACTGGGGAAGGTCAGTCTGGCTGCTGCGTAGTCTCGGCCCACCTGGGAATACGTGCTGCCACTGCACTGGCGCACCTGGCCTTCTACCTGCTAGTCCCCATGGGTAGCTAACACTGCAACCCAAGACAGGACATGGGTGACAGTAAGAGCATGTGCCTGGGGCCAAACCTTCTACAGTGGTCTTGCCTGACCTCCACTGACTTAAGAGCTGAATGCTATGACCAGCTATCTATCCTACAAATGACTATTTACTGCCACAGGTGGGTCCAGAGAGCTCCTTGGCAGGCCCAGCACTCAGGGGCAGCTACTCTACTCCAATTTTCACCACTAAGCCCTTGTTTAAAAGCAATCAATGTTGAGACTGAGTGTGGTGGCATGTGCCACCAGCACTTGGGAAGCTGAAAACAGAAGAATCACTACAAGTTTGATCTGTGGAGTGAGATGCTGTAGACTCACCCTGCTCTAAAAATACAAAAGATAGGGCCATGGAGATGGCTCCGTGGAATAAGCACTTGCCTTGCAAGTGCAGGGGCCGGAGTTCAACCCCCACTTCCGCCAAAAAAATAAATAAAAAATAAAAATAAAAATACAAAGGAAAAGGGCTGGGGAGATGGCTCAGCGGAATAAGCACTTCCCTGGCAAGCGCAAGGGCCTGAGTTCAATCCCCAGTTCCAGCAAAAAAAAAAGCAAAAAAAAAAAGAGCAATCAATGTCATGAGGTAAGGGGACCCGAAGGTACCCAGTGCCCATATTTCTCCAATAGCCCGCAGTGTTTCCTAAAAACCTTGCATTTGTATGCACAAGATGGGTGGGGCAGTGATTCTGGGGGCCATAAGCAGGTTTTTGAGACTAGCAGTTGGCTGGTGGGATTCTCATTCTGACTAACTGTATATGCTGGTGCCCGTGAGCCAGGCAGCTGCACTGAGGATGGCGATGTATAATAGAGAGGTCATGCTTGGAGTGCCTGCCATCCTGGTCTTCTAAATATGTACTTCTTGTCATGACATACCAATTATTACCATACTGTCTCTTAAGTAAAGAGTTTTTTTAAAGGGTAATAAATGAAAGGAAAAAAAAAGACACAAGAATAAAAAAAAAAGTCATAGGTCTGTCCTACTACAATTCTGTATATGGTTAGATTTCTAAATTTCTTTGTAAAAATATGTAAGTGCTTATTTTCTAGTTTTTTAAAATTATTTTTCCTTCATATTCTGTAAGGATTTAAAGTTCAACATATCAATATTTGATGGAAAATACATGTTCCATGATATGCCAAAGATGTTTAATATTTAGACAGATAGGGTAAACCGAACTGCATATATTGCAGGTTAATAATAAGCTTTTCTTCTGGAGGATTAACAACCTAAGTTAGCAGATCAAAATTGGAGAAAAGGAAGGGCTACAAGATCAGCCAACGTTTTGGCCCTAGCCCTTCAAGGTCAGTGAAGACTCAGGACATAGGAGAACCTGTACTGTAACATCATGTAACTCAGATGTGCTCCAAATTTTCTGATCAAGGAGATTATGGAGCCACAAAGGAATGTGATCGATGATGTATAGTGTGCCTGGGGAGAGTCACATGGAGAGAAAAAACATTCTCCCAGGCCTTCACAGAGAGCAAATTCGTCAGGCAATGGCTGTGACTCATCCTCATGGCTGACACTGACAAAGGATCTACAAAGTGCGACACACGGCTACAGGATAAATCCTGAGGGTACTTGACTGACCTTACCAGATACAAAAGTTACATTTCTTGTTATATAGGTCTTGCTTTATCTTGGTCTTAACCATCCAGCAGAAAAGTATAAAAACAAGGTATATAAAGTAAAGCCATATTAATACGATGAGCTGTAAAAGGCTCAAGTCAATAACTTCTGAGGATAACCCACTAATATTATAGACTGCTACAGTGTTGGATTGTTTTGCTGAATTTAAACACCTATAGTATTTAGATGCCAAAAGAATACTCATCTCTGACAGGACTAAACAAAAAAAGGGGGGATAAAAAGGAAAGATCATTTTGTACTTATATACACAAAATAATTAGGATAGATATACAGCTACTTTTGCTTAATTCAATGAGAAGAGGTGTACTAACAGTGTTTGGACAGGATATCCTGTCTGTTTCTTGTACTATGGATAACCATTAAGATAACAACGTGTGGGCTGGTGAGATGGCTCAGTGGTCTAAAGCACCTACTTAGAACAAGCTTAGCAAAGCACAAGGGACCACGGTTCAATCCCCCAGCACCACATGCCAGCCAGCCCGCCCCCTGGTGGGCTGAGCTGGTCACACACACAATAAATAAATAAATAAATAAATAAATAAATAAATATTAAAAAAAAATTTAAGATAACAATGTGCAATGTATTGATTTGTCCTATTAATAAGCTTTGAAAATGTCTCATTCATATTTCTCAAAAAAAAAAAAAAATGTCATGAGGTAAGGGGACCAGAAGGTACCCAGTGCCCATATTTCTCCAATAGCCCACAGTGTTTCCTAAAAACCTTGCTCCTTGACAAGGGCATCTAAGTTTTTTTATTTCTCTCTCTCTGGGTCCATCCACGGGCAGAAATGTCTCTCTAGGGCCTCCCAGGTCCCCAACCACAAGCTCTAGGTCACTCTAGCAGCTCTCAGAGGTGCCGCCTCCATGGCCACTGAGTCTGAGAACTTTGGTGGTTTGGGCTTTGGTCTACTGAGCCATGCTGGGCACTCCCTGAACACAGTGGGCACTGACCTATGGCTCTCCTTGATACCCAGGGCTTCCTGAGTAAGGCCAGTGCCCAGGTCTCCTCCCTCAACATGCACGCACACACTCAAAGCATGCACCTGCTTCTGCGGCGGGGCCCATAACCTCCCCGGCGGGCTGGAGAACGGGAGTAGCGATGTCCATCCCGGGACCCCCCGCCAGAATGTCGACGGCCACGGCTTCGGGAGCGTGAGTAGCGCCGCGAGCGGGATCGGGAGCGGGAACGTGACCAGGAACGGGAACGGGCATGGCGGCTGGAGCGGTAGTAGCCCCCGCCACGGCGGGAGCGAGAGCTGGAGCGGGAGCTGGAGGTCCTCGAGGCGGAGGAGGAGGAGGAAGAGGAAGAGGAGGTGCGGCGGCTGCAGGCGGGGCACGGGGGGCCGGTCAGCACAGGCCTTGACTGAGGACCCCCTCCTGCCCCAGGTTCCCCCCACGGCGGCCAGGACGTAGGGCGGGCAGCGTGAGCGTTACAGACCGGGCGCTGGCATTGCGTCCCAGTGCGGGGCCGCCAGGCTGGGGGGGTGCGGGGGGCTTCCCTGTGGCGGCCCCTGATGCCGCAGCCGCAGCGGCCGCAGCAGCCTCCTCATCGCTGCCCCCAAAACTGGTGATGAAGGTGATCTTCTCCTCACGACCCGGGCTTGGTGAGCGTGAGCGAGAGCGGGACTCAGAGGTGGATTCCGAAGGAGACCTGTGGGCGACCAAAAAGGCAGCTCAGGGCCACAGTCCTGCAGCAGCATAACCCACAGAGAGGACACAGCAGAGCCCACTGCGGAGACCAAGCCCTCCACAGAACCTTGCTCATGCTGCAGTCTTGCAAAGCAAGCAGGACAGGGAAGGAACAACCAGGGAAGGATCAAATTTATGGCTGTTAAAAATGGGTGATGAGGGGCTGGGGAGATGGCTCAGTAGAACAAGCGCTTGCCTGGCAAGCACAAGGGCCTGAGTTCAATCCCCGGTTCCACATAAAGAAAAAAAAAAAAAAAAAAAAGGGTGATGAGCCGTCCACATGCACTAGCAGGGCCACTCTGGGATTTTTGATTTCTGTTGTTTTGAGAGGGAATCTCACTATGTAGTCCAGGCTGCTCTTAAATTCACTATAGCTCAGGGGGGAACCTCAAAGTTGCAGTGCTCCCCCTGCCTCAGTCTTTTTTCTTTGTGGTATCAGGGATTGAACTCAGGACCTTGTGCTTGCCAGGCAAGTGCTTATTCTACTGAGCTATCTCCCTGGCCCCTGCCTCAAGTCTCTCAGTGCACTGCAGTTGCTGATTATTTCTACACTTGATCTTAGCCAAAAAGGTCGAGAAGCGATGCTGATTATTTCTGAGAGTTAAGCTTTGTTTTGGGGTATCTCAGATGGCCTTTACAATCAGTTACATCTCTAGTCCTTTCTAAATTTTTAGACAGGGTCTTACTAACTCACTACATTGCCCAGGCTAGGCTTGAGGGTGCAGTCCTCCTGCCTCTGCCTTCCTGAGCACTGGGGTTTTTTTTGTTTGTTTGGGGTTTTTTGGGCAGAATTACGGATTGAACTTGTGCTTGCCTGCTTATTCTACTGAGCTGTCTCCCCAATCCTGAGCACTGTAATTACAGACTTGCCTGCTCTACTACGCCTGATTAGACTTTTAACTTGCAAGTCACACTCTTTCTGCCATATTTGATCATTCACCAGAAAACTGGATTATACTTAAATTAGAAAAACAAAGGAAGCTCAAGGGCCGGGGAGATAGCTCAGTAGAACAAGCACTTGCCTGGCAAGTGCAATGTCCTCAGTTCACTCCCCAGTACCACAAAAAAAAAAAAAAAGAAAAAAAAGCAAGCTCAAACTGAAGAAAATTTGGGGAAAATACAAAACTGATCCCCACCCATAACTGCCACAGATGGTATCACATAGTAGCGGGGATGGCAGGAAGGTGGGCTGTCTGACCCTTACTCCCGCCCTGTCTCTCATCAGGGAGCTCAGGGCTGTATCTCCCTGGGCCCCGGAACTCACCTCTTATAAGGGTCATAGGTGGGACTGTCCCGGCGGGCATAGCTGTGGGAAAGATGGGGTAGGACAGGTGAAGGCCGGTGATCTGGGCTGGCCTAAACCCAGAAGCTGGCACGGTGAGGGGGCTGCCACCCAGGTTACGAGCCTGGCTGTGAGTTCTTCATCTATGCCCACATCAGCTGTCTAAAGCACAAGTAGCCCACCAATGTCTCAGCCACTCGGAAACAAAGCAACAAGAGCTCAGCAGCTCCTGTCCTGCTTGGCCTCCTGACCAAACCTCCTCACAGTCCTCCCATCTGGGCTTCCTGGCAGCTGGGGTTGCAGATGTGTGCACCACCATGCCCAACTGTCTCAGCTGCACATCTACACACCAGGTACTAAACACATTATACTAGTCACTGCTAGGAAAGTGAGGCTGAAAGGTGAAGTCACTCGCCCAGGACCACAGAGCTCTGAAGGATGGAAACCTTCAGGATGGAAACCCAGGCCGCATGGCCCAGCCTTGCTGGTGTGCTCTGCAGTGACAGGCGCCGGTGTCAAAGAGGGCAGCAGTGAGCATGGGTGCCACTCTTCAATCACTTCTGCCAAACCCTGAGCTGCTGTGCCTGTTCCCGTCCCTCTGCAGCCCTCCACCACTCCCTTTACGTCCCTCTGCAGCCCTCCACCACTCCCTTTAATGGAGTGCTGGCAAAAAAGGCAGCCTGTGTCCAGCCACCAGGCCTGCAAGGCTCTCCTGTCTGCAAGTGCTTCATTCACACCTATCCCAAGACCTCCAGAGGGGACTAGCATGTCTTGTCCTGGCAGGTGATGGTGTCCATGTTCAAAGGAGGAAGCAAGTTCAGAGAAAGGGTGGTGCTGGAGCAGCAGGCCTGAGGCAGCAGCCCAGGCCAGCCTTTTCTTCTGTATCCTCTGGTGGAAGTTCTACACCGACCCCCACGCTCCTGGGAGTGTGGCAGAGCTCAGGTGCAGCCAGGTAAAGCAGCAGCTGGGGGACGTGTCCACAAACCCTTCTAAGCATTTTCTTCTTTTGGTGGAACCAGGGATTGAACTCAGGCCCTTGCGCTTATTCTACTGAGCCATCTCCCCAGCCCCTTCTAAGCTATTCCTGCTGAACCTTGCTGACAACCATTAATGCCCTTCTGGGACCATTTCTCCAAGCCAAACACTATCTCAGAAGAACCTTCCAGGCAAGAGTGCCAGACCCTCCTCCCGACATCCATGGGAGGTACACACTACCTGGGTGGGCTGATCTTGCGGCCTCTCAGCCGCTTCTCCCGGAACTCTCTCCGCTGGCGCCGGGAGCGACGGCCCTGGGTGGGGGGTGGCAGGCTGATGAGAGGTGTGCTCCCTGTGGGAACACCCCTGCCCCCTCAGCCCACGCAGACCTCACCGAGTACATGGCTTTCTCCTCCTCCAGGGCTTTGGCGTGTTTTATGGCCTCTGCCTCCTCCTTGTCTTTCCGAAGCATCCTGCAGAGGGGGATGAGGTTCATCATGAAAGAGGGCACAAGTCACAGGGTAAGCAAGGCTCTGGCAAAGGGATCAAGGAAAGTAGAGGATCTCATGCCACCCACGGTGTCTTTCTTACAGTGCAACATGAAGCACCCTCTGCAGATCAGGTGCTGGCTTAAGTACTAAGAACTCAGCACTGGACTCTCCAGATGTGTGGGCTAATGTACTAGGAGCCAGCTAGTCAGTAGCCAAATAATAGAGTGGTCTGGGAGAAACCTCAATCATGGAAGGAGGACAGCAAGTGCTAGGATCTGGCAGAGTTGGTAGCTATACACTTTAGTAGGGAAGTTAGGGGGCTGTGCAGAGAGTGTCAGCAAAGAAAAGCCCAGGGAGCGGGCTGTGCACAGCAGCAATGAGCAGCAGTGTGAGCGCCTGGGCCAGCTGAGGAGTAAGGAGGAGACCACCAAGGCTGGGAGAGGATTGGTACAGCCAGAGGACCTGAGGTCAGGAAGGGGAGGACAGATGGGTCAGGCCCTGGGGCTGTGCTGAGGATGCTGGCCGCTCCTAAGGGCTCGACTAGTTGTTGTATTTGTTTTTCGTACCAGGGATCAAACTCAGAACCCTGGGCTTGCCAGGCAGGCGCTTATGCCACTGAGCTATCTCCCTGGCCCCCACGGGTGTGACTGGGCAGAGGCCAAGGAGCTGTGTCCAAGGAAGGGCAAGTGAATGACACTGCTCCACTAGGGGGCACTGTCTACCCAGCCCAGGTGCTGGGGACTTGGGGTAATTTTTTTTTTTTAATTACAGGGTCTACAGAATCTCACCATATAGATCAGACTAGTAGTGATCTGCCTGTGTTCAGCCTCCCAAGTGCTAGGATTACAGGCGTGTGTCACCTGTCTCAATAGCCATCTCAGTGTGTCCCAGGGGCCAGGCCTGGAGATCAAACCCTGGGCCCCTGCGTCTGCCTAAGCAGGCGCTTTAATTTGCTATCTGGCTGGCTCAACTTGGGGTAATTCTAAGTACAGCCTGTTGCTTTCTTTTTTTTTTTGGTTCAGGGTCTCACTACATAGCCCACATTAGTAGTGATCCTCCTGATTTCTGCCTCCCAAGTGCTGGGATTACAGGCATGTGCCACTGCGCCTGGATTTTTTTTTTTTTTTTTAAAGACAGGGTCTCCTTATGTAGTTCAGGCCTGCCTTGAACTATGTCACTATGTAGTCTGGGCCTTGAACTCATAGTAATCCTCCGGCCTCAGGCTCCCAAGTGCTGGGATTACAGGCACATGCCACTTCACCTGGCTCAGCCTGTTTCTGCACAATATAGAGACCCAGGTGCCTACCCACCAGGCCCAAGAGCAGAATGGCTGTAAGGACTAGGAATGTGGACAGAGAGAAGTCAGGATAGCCTCACCTGACAAAGTCACCATCAGCCATTCCATAGGTCGTGGCCTGTTTGTTCAGATCTGCCACCTGCTCCTGGTTCAGCTCATCCACATCCACCTCCACATCTGCATCAAGAGAAAGCTGTCAGGAACCAAAGACAACTGAGAGGATGGGGGAGCAGGGGCCATGCCCAGGTGGTGATAGACAGGGTGCCCCAGCAAGAGCAATGCTGGGGGAGGGGCTTGTCAGCATGGCTCAGCTTCCCCCATCTCCCTAAGGGTGTGCTCCACCAGGCTGAGCATAACACTCAGGCAGTGGGCGCTGGAACCAAGCCTGGAGGTGGGGTGGAAGGGTTGGTGGGGTGAATATAAAGGGGGGGGGGAGTGAATGGCGGATGGATGGACAGACGGATAGAGATGGAGGTGGGTGGCAGGTGTTTAGGCGCTGGCAAAGAAGGATGAGTGAGAGGGATAGCCCTGCCAAGAATGAACAAATGTGCTGGCAGGGTGTGAGCCAGCCTGAGAAGATGGAGCCAGGCAGGCGGCCTGCTCAGCAGGTCTCTAGGTGGAAGGCAGCAGGCAGGCAGGTAGCAGGGCTGGGGGACCAGTGGCAGATGCAGAGGGACAGGCACGGTGAAGGTGATCCAAGTCGAAGAGGACAGAGCCACCAGCGAGGTGGAGAAGGTGTTACACACATAGTGCCTACAATGGGAAGCAAGTGTTGGGCCAGAGTGTAGAAGGGCGAGCAAGACAGGAGGCAGCAGGAGACAGGGTGCCCTGGAGCAGAGAGGGGAAGGAAGGGTCACAGCATGGGGCACCCCACAGAGGGAGAAGGACTAGACACAAAGACGATGCCCAGGGACTGCGAGAGGGGAGGACAGAGAGGGGACCCCACCGATGTCGGGGATGACCTCATCTTCATCCGAGTTGCTCTCCTCCTCTGCCGGCGACTCCTCCTCCTCTGGCTTCTCTGTCACCTTCTCTACCTCAGCCACTGTGCTGTCCTCATAGGTGTAACCGATGGAAGCCTTCTTCTCAGCCAGCCTGGGGTGGGAAGACAGTGAGCCAGCGGTGCCCAGCAGAAAAGGCCACAGACAGGCTCGTACACTGGCCTCTCAAGTTACCATACTCAGTCGCACCCCAGGCTCCTCTGCTCCTGCCCACCACCAGCTCCTTCTCATTCCAGGAAGCCACCTTAGCCCAGCGCTGCCTGTGTGGATTGGGGGGGGGCAGGTCTGACTAAGCTCATGGGTGGGGTGCTTTTGGGTCCATTTGACAACATTCCTTGTGCCTGCTGGTGCCACCCTCAGCCATGCCAGGCTGGAAGCGCCTAGTGCAGCACTGAGAAACCCTTCAGAAGGAAAGGGCAGCCTGTGCTTAGGGTCCCTGAAAGAGACCTGGGGAGCAGGAGGAAAGAGTACCTGAGACACAACAGCCACTGATGCCACCTGGAGCAGGGGCCCCGGGGGTGTGAGGACAGAGGGGGAAGACAGTAGGACAGGCATGTTACAGCTCAGTATCCTACATCTCTCCTGGCTCCCAGACTCAGAGGGGACATCCCCCTTCCCCAACTCCATAGATGGAAAAGCAAGGCCGGCCCTTGGCAAGCCCGGCCCTTCTGGCAGCTGTCTCTCTGGACGGTTACTGATGAGCACCAACTGTGCACCCAGCACCGCATATGCCTTCTGGGCACAGTCCTCTGCTCCAGGCAGAATGGAGGAGGCCATACCTAGTGCTGCTCACAGCCCTCCTTGCCCCCACCACACACGACTCACTTCTTCTTTTCATCCTCACTGGGTCTCTGGAGGCCTCCATACAGCTCATCAATATAGATCTGGTACAGGCACTGCTCCTCCGAGACTGTGGCAAGCCAGAGGCACATGGGTCAGGGTGGGCTGGGTGACAACGCAGATGGGGCAGGAGCACAGGGGCTACTCAAATGTAGCTGGGAGTGGAGTCACGGGTTCCAGGTGATCATACATGCGGGGGGGGGGGGGACATACACAGCTACTCCAGTACAGCCCTGGCTGTTCTAAATCACTTACTTGCTGTGTGACCTTGGTCAAGTGACTTAACCCAGCCTCAGGTACTGCCATCACTATTGCTATTACACAGGCCTCTGGCTGGACCCTTCCACATGGTACACCTGCCCCTGAGACCACTCCCTTGCCCACCTCTTGGCTTAGTGTAAATGAGGCACAGTTTGGGGTGATCTGGGCTCTCCTTTGCTCCAACACCCACATCGGAGAGTCAGTAATAGACCAAAGCTTTCCCAGTCATCCCTTCCACGAAATGCTGGCCCCTAACCTGCTGTGGGACCCCTGAGGAGCTTTAGCTTTCCTGTATATAACAGCAGTAGTTGGGCTAGCCAACTGGGGAGTGAGGCAACATAGCCTCCCACCCTCCCAGCTCTAGTGGATGTGCCAACTCCTGCCACAGCCCAGGAGAGCCCCCTTGCTGGCCTTGCCTTGGCCACATGGGCCTTCTCTGCTCCTCTATGGTAGCCCTCGATCCCTGGGCTTTGCACATGATGCACTCAGCCCAGAGTCCTGTGCCCATTCTTGCCTCTCTGCCCTTACTGACCCAGCTGAGCCAGACCCTGGCTGCTGCCCTCAGAAGAGCACACACTATCTGTGATGACCCCACCTCGGCTCTCATTATACTACTCATGTGCTAAGTGGCTGCTCCCTGTCCCCCACCGGGCCCCTGACTCCAGCTGCACCATAGGCAGAGAGAGACTTAAGGTAAACCTTGGCTCTATCTCTAAGAACCCAGGACACCCTGAGGGATGGCACAAACAGTAGTACCAGTCAGGCATGGTGATACACACCTGTAATCCAGGCACTCTAGGAGGCTGAGGCAAGAGAATCACAAATTCAAGCCCCACCTGAGCAACTGAATAACTTAGTGACTATCTTAAAACAATTAAAAAAAAAAAAAAAAAAGGTTTAAAAAAAAAAAAAAAAAGGTTTAGGGTCATAGCTCAGTGCAAAGTCCCTGGGTTCAATCCCTAGTCTTTCTCTCTCCCACACATACTCACTCACTGACTAATGAATCTTTATATACCGCCTCGCTGAACCTTCAGGACGCCTCATGGGACACAACCAGCACCACCATCAGTTTCTTCAGGAGGACACCAAGATCCACCAGACAAGAAAGACAACATGGACAAGTCCAGCAGAGGGTGCCATTTTCCCCTCAATTGGTAGGGGAGCACCCAATCCCAGGCAGGAGTGGTGGCGCTGTGAGGGAGAATCTCGGTGCTAAGGTCCTGTCAGTAAAATAGGACACCGCCCTGGCCTTTCTGGGTAGCTGTGCAGGGATTAAAGAGGTGCAAGCCAGGCCTCCCCTCATCAGGCAAGCCCAGAGCAAAAGCCTTCTTTCCCCAGGGTCTCTGCTATCTCATTCATGAAAGGGCAACACTGTTAAGGCTGGGCTTGGCAAAGAATCCTGGAAGTGTATAAACCCTTAGCACAGTCAGGTACTGTTTAATCATTCAGTTCTTTTTCCTTTTTTTTTGGCAGAACCGGGGGTTAAACTCAGGCCCTTGCGCTTGCCAGGCAAGAGCTTATTCTACTGAGCCATCTCCCCAGCCCTCTTTTTTCCTTTTGTGAGACAAAGTCTCACTATGTAGTTCAGGCTGGCCTCAAACTCTATGTACCCCAGAATGGCCATGAACTCACAGCAATCCTCCTGTCTCAGCCTCCTGAGTGCTGGTATTCTAGGCATCCACCATCTCATCCAGATTAAACATTCATTTCAAATGAGAAATTCCCTTCTCCCAACTGACCCTTCATCCATGCAGTTAGGGCAAATAGAAGTGTGCTTGCTATCCACCCCCCTTTTTAAAGGAAAAAAGGACAATAGAATCACAACAATGGGGTGGAGGGCATCTTGAGAGGCAACTCTAACTCAGCAGATACTTCCTGTGCCAGTTCCAGACGTGAAGGGCCCAGAGAGAAAAAACAGACAGACAAGTCCATGACACGGCTGGGCCAAAAGCCCACGGTCATTATATGAAGTACCTGGATAAAACTTGTCTTGCCAACCGTCTAGGTCTTCTGGTCTCCAGGGGCCCCCCTACTCCCCACTCCCCGCCTCATCACTCACTGCCGGCAAAGTCGTTCTGCACCAAGCCTCGGTAGCGCTCGTAGTTGCATTTCCGCTCATCTGACTCCTGCTCCGGGGAGCTTTGGGAAAGTCAAGATCTTGAGATCAGAGAGAGGGCAGATTCTACCCCAAGCCAGCAAGAAGTATGAGATGCCTGGCTGAGGGTCAGGCAGGGAGGCAATGACTGTCAGAGCCCTTGCTTCCCAAGTGGAGGGGGTCTCCCTGCCTGCACACCTTCTCCCCACAACACTGACAGACAGGCCAGAGCAAGGACAGGTGCTCTGGGTCCTTGGGTAGCCCCCCAGGGGTGCAGCTTACATGGCTGTGAGCAACGGGGGCGTGTAGTCGGGGATGTGGTCCAGGTGGGCACGCACGTCGAAGCGGTCGATCATGTTGCTGGTGTCCCCCTGCCAAGGCATCCTGGAATGTGGAGGATGGGAGCAGAAAAGCAAGGCACTTGGGCTTTGCCCAAAACAGGTAGCTGTTCCCGAGCAGTTAAGCTAGTGAGCTTGGCCCTCAGTTCCTCTGATACCTATGGTATGCCCTTCACCCTCACCCAGCTCAAGGGACTCCAGCTCAAGCTGCAAACCCTGAATCAGCAGTCAGGCTCCAGGACCTGGGACAGCTCACCTTGTGTAACTACCAGTCAGAGCTGGCCCCATATCTAGGGGCCATTGCAAATCACCTGAAACCCCATCCCCACCCTGCAACTTCCTCTCTGCTTCTCCAGGGCCCCAGGCCAGCCCCACCTTCTCTTCAGTCCAAACTAGAGCTCTGTCCCAACCCTGCCCAGTCTACACAGCTGCTGGAACTGCCCACCTCCTAAGCAGGCCCAGCCCTCACAGTCCATGTCCCCAGAGCCAGGTTTATATCCCAGTCTGCTGCAGATTCACACCACCCTGGCCCCTTCAGGGGCCCCAAAGCAGTCTCACATGTTAACAGGGCTCTCAGCAGCCAGAGCAACAGCAGAATCCAAGTGCACCTTGCAAGCTCGGCCATGTACCTGCAGGAACTGGGCTGGGTCCTTCTTCTGCATGGTGAATGGGATACAGGTCAATACCCAACAGAGTTCATGTCCCTCCCCTAGAAAGCAAGCTCAGTGGTGAGCTGACCTCCGCTGGCATGGTCTACCTCTGAGGTAGACCAAGATGTGTGGCAACAGGAGTTTAAGTAGCAGGTGGCCTACCCTCCTGAGCCTTGTTTCTTCCCCATGTGCTGGCCAGGGATCCTGAGCACTGGCTCATTCTTCTGCACAGCCAGGTACCAAGACCTCTTGGTCTAAATGTGACCCCAGCCTTACCACTTCATCCCAGAGCCATCAACCTAGAGGCAGGTGTGAATGCTTCGGCCTGGACCAGCTAGTGGGACTCCAAGACTGCAGAAGCAACAGGGAAAGGTGCCCAGTGTCCTTAGTCACTAGGGAAACAGCAACCAGAGCCACAAGGTACCACCTAACATGCTCTACGGAGACCGAGATGAAAAGAACAGTAGTAAGTATTGAAAAGAGCATGGAGAAATTTAGCCCCTCAGAAAGTTAAACAGAACCAGGCATAGTAGCACACATCTGTAATCTCTACCTCTCCAGAGGCTGAGACAGGAGGATCAAAAGTTCAAGATCACCTTGGGCAACTTTGCAAGACTTTGTCCCCAAATCAAAAATAAGACCCCCCCAAAAAAAAAAAACAACAACAACAACAAAAAAAACCCCTAAGGTTTAGATTGTAATTCTGGGGTAGAGAAGTTCTGGACCCAGTGAGGGAGGGATGGAAGGAGAGAAAAGAATTACAGTATGACCCAGCAACTCTACTCCTAAATACATACCTACAGAAAAAGAAAAACAGGTGCTCAAACTAGTATTTCTATACTAATACAACATTGTTTAATTTTATTTATTTATGTGTGTGCGTGGCCAGCTCAGCCCACCAGGGGGCGGGGCTGGCTGGCATGTGGTGCTGGGGATTGAACCACGGTCCCTGTGCCTGTGTTTTGCCAAGCTTGTTCTAAGTAGGTGCTTTAGACCACTGAGCCATCTCACCAGCCCCACAACATTGTTTATAATAATGAAAAATGGGAACAACCCATGCTTACCAATAAATAAGCAGTCAAAATGGATACATCTAAGCACTGGAATGTTACTCAGCCACAAAAAGAAGTGAAGACATGGTCCTGGCTGCAAGCTGGATAGGTCTCAAAGTAATCATTTTCAATAATGAAAGGCCTGCACTGTCAATTCCACTTATAACCAGTAACCAGAGGAGACAATGGCACAGAGACAGAGGGGATTTATACCTGCTGAAAGCTGAGGAGTTGGGGAGAGCAGAAAGTGACTGCTCGTGGGCACAGGCTGTTTACGGCGTGGGAGGGGTAATGAAAATTTTCTGGAATTTGGTTATGATGATGTTTACATGAACCATATTGAGATGTACTGAATTGTACATGTTGAATAAGGGAACAGAATAGTATGAGACTGATACTGCAATAAAGGTATTGACAAAAAGCTGACATTACGGATTACACCTACAATGTCAGCTTTGGGTGGCTGAGGCACAAGGATCACAAGTTCAAACCCAAACCAGACAATTTAGCAAGACCCAGTTATTAAAAAATGGTATACACAGTGCCTGCCTGGCAAGCACAAGATCCTGAGTTTGATTCCTCATACCAAAAAAAAAAAAAAAGTGCTGAGGATGCCATCATATCTGAGCTCTGGTATGAGTCTAACGCATCACAGAAGCATTCAAGATAAAAATCTGGGGGCTGGGGAGATGGCTCAGTAGAGTAAGTGCTTGCCTGGCAAGTGCAAGGCCCTGAGTTCAATCCCCGGTTCCACAAAAGAAAAAAAAAAAAAGATAAAATCTGTGGTTCCTCAGGGCTGGGCCCTGACCAAGCACTACCTGCTGCTAACACAGAGGAACCCAGGAGAGTGGCTGGAGGGGCTGCCATGCGACCCATTTAGTAACCCACACAGAGTCCAGCCCTGGCTTGGCCCACCACAGGCAGCATACCTCATCCCTGGGCCATGCTAAGCCCCTAAGGAGCACAGCACTCAGGCCTGCAGCCTGCCCACCCCTGCTCTGCCCTGACCTGCCCTGGGTTGGAAGGCTGCCTCGGGGGCCAGGGAGATGGCTCAGTGGAATAAGCGCTTCCCTGGCAAGCTCAAGGGCCTGAGTTCAATCCCCGGTTCGGCCAAAAAAAAATAAAAAAAAGAAGGCTGCCTCTAAATTTAGCTCTTCCCAATATCAACAGCACCCACCTTACACTCTTCACTCCTACACTTCCCTGCCTCCACCTCACCTGCATTCCAGAGGCCAGAAACCATTTTGTTGCCTGGCCCCAGGGCTGGGAACACTGGGAGCACTGACTACAGAGGAGCTGGAACCCAATGGGACCTGGCATGGCATCCCCTCCAAGGTTCTGTAAAGCTCCTCTTCCCACCACCCCACCCCACCCGGCCTTCCATGCCCAGCACCAGCCTGTGCCATCCATACTCACATCTGTCACACCTAAAGAAACTGGGGTATGAAGGACACATACTTCTAGGACCACAAGGAATCCAAATTCCCACCTACACCTCAGCTGCCTCTCTCAGTTCCTATCTCAGACCATACCCACAGTGGCAAGTCCACTAGGCCACTGTACTCCCCAGCTGTACAAGTTCCACAAACAGGACTCAAGGGACAACACTGGCAGTACAGAATCCAGCTGGAGTGCAGGAGCTCCATGCGGGATTGGCCTCACAGAAGCACTGGGCTGGGAGTAAAAGCCAGAGTTCAGGCCCAGCTCAACTGGGAAACATCAAAAGCCAGGGTATCATACCCAAAGCCAGACACTGAGTTATACAGGTTCCACACTCATGCTCTCCAAACCTGGAGAAACTTGTTCTCCTCTCATGTCTCACAGGAGCAATACACAGAACTAGGGCTGGGATGAAACCCTGATGCATCTGACTCCTTTTAGGGCTGGATACAATGGCAATCCTCTGTAATCCCAGCATTCTGGAGGCTGAGACACGAGGATCATAAATTTGAGGCTAAGCCTAGAATTCACAAACATCCTGTTTGAAACAAAACAAAACATGACTAGGTGTGGTAGTACACACATATAATCTTTTCCTTTTTCTGGTACTGGGAATGGAACACAGAACCTTGTGTTTGCCAGAAAGGTGTTATGCCACTAAACTATATCTCTAGCCCCATATATATATTCCTAGCACTCTAGAGGCTGAGGCAGGAGGATTGCGGCAAATTTAAGGCCAGCCTGAACTACAAAAATAAAAAAAAAGAAAATATTTGGCTAAGTATTATAGCACACACTCTATAATCTCGGAACTCAGGAGGCTAAGGCAGGGAATTTGGAATTTTTTTTGTGTGTGTGTTTTGCTCCTTGAATGCCTTCAGGGCACTTTTGCATGGCTGGAGTGCTGTGGGGATCGAACTACAGCAAACTGAGGCTGCCAGCATTGTGGAAGC